TTTGGGGATTTCCCCCCGGACGGGGGTTTGAATCCCCAAAAGCCGGACATGTCCGGGAAAATCCGGACGTATGGTAACCCTACACCAGACTAGCAAATAAACAAACTTTCAGAACCAAAGCCTCCAGCTGCTTTAAAATAATTGATTTGTATGAAAAAAATATCCTTTAACTTAGAAAACATAATCCTTGGCTAACAGCCACACACCAGACAGTGCTGCATAGTGTGATGCTATAAAACGGTGGCTATTTCTAAAGCTAAGAGTAAGGGAGCAGATAAAAGCAATAGAAAAAGACATTTCAGAAGTCTAGGTGTAGCCAATATACCACCACTTGTTCTTACTTTAAACTGAGCTTCAAATGAGGATTTAAGCTAGGGTTCTAAATTCTCACTCCACTGTGCAAAAGAAAGTTATGAGGGGAAAGAGGACCACAGCATAATGTATGTTTTTAACAGAGAGAGATTTTTATGCTACGAGGGCAAGATTTCATACTTAGTTAACACACACATTAACCGGGGATCCTACTAGAATTATTTATTATTTGTATCACAGTACTACCTAGAGGCTAGAACCCCATCATGCTGGTACTATATAAACATATAATAGAGACCAACCCTGCCCTGCAGAGATTAAAAAAATGGAAGCAAATAATCTATACTGGCCTCTGGATCATCATGGTTCCAAATTGTTCAGGAAGTAGTACAAGAGATGAACTGGTCAAAAAAGGGGGAAAATTGTGGAAAGTGTTATGAAAAACGTGTCCCCTTTTTTTGGTTGTAATTTGAAATTTCACTGAAACAAAAATTCACAACATTTCATCCAACTCTAATAAGTGATATTTTAGAGTTCATCTCCTGGATCCAGTTGGGTTAAGAGATCTCCCGAATACATTTTACACATAGTTGGAAATAAAATACAGCAACCTTTAGCCTCATCTCAAATTGAGAAACTGCACCCCCACCATCACCCACCCACAGCGACAGATTCCTGTCAGAGAAAGTATGCAGCTGGAGGTCGAGAGTCAGGCAGAACAGCTCACAAGGAGGAGTGAGCAGGCAGAGATGGTGTCAGCTTCTGCCATCAATTAGACAAGCATTTGGAACTACTTCTTTCCTCCCCCAGTAATGCATAGAGGGTAACAATTTCAAAGCCCCAAAGGGATTCTGGAGCCTAAATTCCATTTTCAAAAGTGTTTTAGGTATTAGGGCCCAGATCCTCAAAAGTATTTAAGCAACTAGTTTCCACTGAAATCAATGGGAGCGAGCCTAAGTCCCACTGACTTTCAATGAAACTTTGGCTCCTAAGTGCCTACATCATTTCTGAATGTGGGTCTTAGATGCTTATGAAAATTTAGCCCCAGTCTCCAGTCCCTAAAACTCAGCTTAGCAAGAAACATTTAAAAAAAAAAAAACACACACATTAAGAACAAACATCTACTAACTATGAACTCATTCATTTGGTTTGTTCACTGCTCTCCGCTTCTAGGGAGCAAATTGATTAACCCAAGCAGACGACTCTCTGGGGAGTTTGAAATCTGTGGCGATCCTTGCAGGAGTCGTTTGTATACTCAGCCAGATTAGAACGTTCCCCCCACACACCTTACAAAAAGGCAAAGATGATGATCATTATACAGGCTCTGAAAGCAGCTATGTGCCATGCCAGGCAATGCAATGCAGTGGCTGCTCTAGCTTTACTCGTAGTAGCGGTCTCCAGTTTCAGCTTACCTGTTTTATGCACTGCAGCCGGTCATTGGTCTGCTGTATATGCCTGTCCATAGAATTCATTTTGATTGTCTCCACTTGGCTTCTACCTGAAAGCCATTAAAATCCCTCAATCTGCAAGATAAAAAGAACAGGAAAGATCACTGAACAAAGTCCATGCCAACTCTACTGTCAGAGAGACCATGGATGTTACACACCACAGGTTTAACCTTCCTTCCTGGGGATGATTTTTTTTCTCTTCTGGTTTGGGAAAGGGGACTGTCAGGGGGCCCACAAGGTATGCACAGGCAGAGGCTCTGTATTTTAAATTCAACAATGACATTCCAAAGTCACATGATGACACCTAGCTAGGTAAAGCAAACTCCACTGGGAGCTTTTGTGAAGCCAATGACAAAGGTTCCTTTTACACAAAGAACTACAGAACTGCTTCACCAAATGCCACTAAAATGAAACAGCAGAGCTGCTGGCAACATCCAAGAAGTCTGGATTTTATGAAGACAAGAACATAAAGGACTCATCATTCTATTTCTATGGGAAAAAATACCTCTCGCTCTCACAAGTATTTCGGATGCACTGTACCATTACATGGCCAGCAAATAAGGACTGGGATTACACAACTGAGCCTAGATATACTTGCCTATGTATTAGTTAGGAAAGCTTTGGATCTCGGTACTTTCAGTTAGAATGATAAGAATGCCTTGATATAAAACGTCATTTAAAAATGGTTCTGGAAGGAGTTGTGGTGGCAGTGAGTACAGCACTGGGATTCAGGACTCAGGCAAGATTTTCAAAAGTGACTAGTGATTTTGTGACATCTTGACATACCTTAAAGAAGTCTGATTTTCAAAAGTGCTGAGCAATAGCCACCTCTAAAAATCTGGATCTTTTCAGATGTCTCTCTTTAAGCCACAAAAACTACTAGTCGCATTTGAAAAATCTTGGCTTCTGTTTTTATCCCCAGCTTTGCTACTGACTTGCTATGTAACCTTAGGGAAGCCACAAACTCTCTGAGCCTCATTTTATGCATCTGGAAAATGAGCAGCATATTCCCATCTCAAAGAGGTGTTGAGAATTTTGATTTGCATGGGAATAGCACTAGGAAATCATCACATGAGAAACAACATCAAGGAATTATGATGATATAAACAGCAAAACTGTGATCTGTTGGCCCCACCATCAACACTCAGCAAGAGGAGCAGAGTTAAATAGGTTTGTTAACCCCTTTTCAGAGTCAGGCTTCATGCTACCCTGCATCTGCACATTAGCATCTCTGGTCAAAATAATTAATATATCAGCACAGAATTGTTTTTCAGCAGTGGTGAAATGTAAGTAAAGAATTAAGATCAGTGACCAAGCTAGGGCCATGGAAGGTACTAGGTTAGCAAGTAACCTCTGCATCTCATTCTGGATTCTGTTTTCTAAATCCCTTTTATCTCTGCCTCAGCCCATCCCACAGCTGAAAGTGTCGGCTATGCCACTTATGGCTCCATCCATTTTAGAGACAGGGATAAATATCTACTTGGGATTTTGCTCTGACCTTTCAACTACTGTAGTCAAAACTAGGCTTGGCACCTAGGCCAACTGGAATGCAGTACAAACAAAGGTAACCCACTGAGCCCTGCAGCCCATGCGCACTGTCTGTGGGTTGAGTTTAACAGAGTCCCTCTTGGCTTTATCTGTTCTTTTACTTTAGTGGCAAAGCAGTTGCTTGGAAAGATGGAAACTTGGATTCCAACCAGCAATTTCTGTCCATAATTCACAATATCAACTGATATGCACTGTAATTTGTTTAAAAGCAGAACTGTGACAAGGCTCCAGCTATGTATAATTGTACTTAACAGGCTTAACAGTTTTAAAGGCTTTTTTCTAATACTCCTTTCTCAGGGAAGGGTGATGAGGCCTCCCCCCCCCCCCCCCACACACACACTCCTCTTTCTCCCAATCCCTTTCACGACACTCTGAAGCGAACACAGAGTGAATATTGTGTTACAAAACTGATCTTTGCCTATATTGATTTCTCTGTCCTTGCAACACTGTAATAGCCAGCTTGGAAGAACACTGTAAGAAGCTGCTTTCTCACACTCAATGACTGGGGCAGGGGGAGGGGAGGGGAAGAGGAATATTAGGATTTTGGATATTAGGAAACACTATTTCACTAGGAGGGTGGTGAAGCGCTGGAATGAGTTACCTAGGGAGGTGGTGGAATCTCCATCCTTAGAGGTTTTTAAGGCCCAGCTCGACAAAGCCCTGGCTGGGATGATTTAGTTGGTGTTGGTCCTGCTTTGAGCAGGGGGTAGGACTAGATGACCTCCTGAGGTCTCTTCCAACCCTGATATTCTATGATTCTATGAGAGGGGAAGGACAGATTCTGCAAGACTCATAGACTTTAGACTCATAGACTTTAAGGTCAGAAGGGACCATTATGATCATCTAGTCTGACCTCCTATACAACACAGGCCACAGAATCTCACCCACCCACTCCTGTAACAAAACCCTAACCTATGTCTGAGTTATTGAAGTTCTCAAATCGTGGTTTAAAGACCTCAAGACACATTCTCATGGCATATTTACAAGAGTGCAAACTTTATACTGGCACAACAGGATTCCAAGTTTGCACTCCAATGTCTGCCGTTGTGAATTCTAGTTTCATTCCTATCACACCTAGCAGTTCGTTTTGTTTATCATATCTCTGTCCCTGATGGAACGTCTTCACACACACGAGAGAGAGGGTGGATTTTTCTGATGCTCGTTCTGCTAGGGAAGCTAAAACCCTTCCCCACTCCCACCTCACAGCACTTTAAAGCCCTTCAATTAGAGCACCTCTAAAAGCCTGCAGTGTGAATGCCCAGCCCCCAGAAAGGGAATTGTGCTCCCCTGGATGGAGATGCTGAATGCATCACTGTCACAGCACGATGGATTCCAGACCATGGCATCTGCGTGTGTCCCACGCACCCGAGCCGTCTGAGATTTCTGTACCTAACTGATAACGTTCTCTCATGGCTCCTGCCGGATTAGACTCCGGGAAAGAAATCTTTTCTGCTAGACAGCTAAATGAGGTCTTACAACAGCAGCTCAAGCGCCTCATCCCCACACTCCAGACACAAGAGGGTTCAATAAAGCACTCTTGTCAATAAATTATAATACTCATGGAATGGTAAAGCCAGTTTCATGTACAAGTATCATTATTAGACTTTGCCAACGCCACCTTCTCAATGGCAGGCACTGTCCAAGGACCCTTTAGAAAACGCAGATTGATATATTTTATTAAAAACGAGTAACACATTCTTATCTGCTTACAAGACCCCAAAACAACCTCAGTAGCCATGGCGTTTAATCTTTCAGTGGACAGCAGAGGTATTTATCATGAGATAAGCTAGCCGAGACATGACACCACTTCAGCAACGATCTATCTTAAGAATTGGAATACATTATCTGCATTTTAATTGTGTATTGGGACAGAAGGAAAAGAGCATATTACAAAAATCCGCCCCTTCTTCGCCCCCCACCCCCAAGTGTTGTTAAACATAACTAAGGAATTAAATCACTGGCTTCATTTCTCTTTACAAACAAAACAAAAACAGTAGAAATGTTCTTAACCAGCCAGTAATCACAATGCTGTGTTTAAGCTGCTTTTGGAACAGAGATAAGTGCCCCCCCCTTTTTTTTTTTGCATTATTTAATTAACCCTCTCACAACTATAGAACCCTGTAGAATCCAATCTCAAAAACAACTCTACTCCAGGCAACAGATTCAAGGACATCCCCAATACCTCCAGAAAAAATGATTCCCGTGGATGCAAGGCTGGATGTACCAGGCACTGAAGCTGTCAGCTAATAACAACAGAAAACTCCTGTGTTGCTGTTGGCAATACAATGTGGGGTTGGGAGACTGGGGGATTCTATAGAGATAATGATAATGACTTGCATTTATGTAGTACCATTCATGCCAGAAGATTGCAAATAATTTTACAAATTGATTTATAAACTGTATATAATACACCTCCAATCATCTGACTTCCAGTTAACCACATGTGTAAATGAAGGTGATCTCAGCTACCTGAACCGTGCATTACTCTCCCATTTGTCCAAAACCCCATTTTCCCCAAGAGCGGTAAATTTCTCAGAAACTTTTCGGAAAATCAGGGCTGTACAACATACAGAAATAAACCACGATAGCCATGCAGCTACCTCTGAGAGTAACATGGAAGCTGTTTCATTGCCCATAGCAACACTTAATGGTTTCGGATGGGAAGTAAAGAATAGCATATGCACATGAAATTGCACAGAGAATATAGAAAGCTGAATAACTGCCAAGGTACTGAGGGCTGGCTACATGCAGAAAATTAAAGGCACGACTATACTAGTATAATTACACTGCTATAGTTATACCAATAGATCTCTGTGTGTGGACACTCTCATTCTGGAATAAGAGTGCTGTTTTCTGGTTTAGTTTATGTCTCTTTGAAAGAGGATGCAACCCCACCAAAGATTAGCCACAGTACTGTATCTTACTTTGAAAATAACAGTGTTTAAGCGAGGGCAAGCCCAACAGAGTGGAATGGGACTAGTCTTCTATTATTTAGTTAAGTGCTGTATCAGGTCACAAGTGAAAATGACTTTGTTGGGTCTCATTCTAGTCTCTTGTATATCAACGTTAGCAAACCATAGCAGGATTCGGCACAACAAGCAGCCTCTGCTCAGAGGAATAGCAGCGGGGTTAAAGCAGCTGATCAGGATTAAAGGGCATCAACAGAGCTGTGGGGAAGAGGAAGCTTACTTGGTGCCTTCAAAAACAACAAAATATCACACACACACACACACACACACACACACACACACACACACACACACACACACACACACACACACCTGTTTTACATGCTAACTCCATCTACAAGGATGAAAAGAACTGTTCTTGTTCCCCTTTGATTATATTGTTCTGTGCACGGAGAGCATGTTCTCCTGTTGTGTTTCTGAGGCATAGACCTGCTCTCTTTTAAAGAAAATATTATGTACATTATTCTTGCCTTCCCTCACCGCAAGCATGCGAGTTTATAGCCCCAGGCAGTAATTAAATAGACCTTATTTACATATTTATGATGCCTCAAAAGGGGA